TCACAATGGAACAACCATGAGGGCCTAGAACTAATATGTACCGCGGGGTCAAAGGACCCTAGTATGGATTCCATGGGGTCATAGACCCGATAGAGATTTCCGTGGGGACACTATGTCCCGATTATGGTTTCCGCGGGGTCAGAGGACACGGTCCAAAGACAAAACATATATCCACGGGGACTTGAAGTCACGATTCAATAACATCCGCGGGGACTAGTCCCGATTCAAATAATACCATTGTCTCGAATCCCGGTAAAAGTTAAGCCCTCACTGTCCATCACACCAATCCAATAATCACCACAAGAGTTCCACTCACAAGGAATCTAGACATACAAATCAAAGTATAGATTCCACAAGAAGTGTCTACAACAACGGATTAGCTCAAACAATAGCTCAATCGAAGAATCATCCAGGATAAAGTACAACGAATGTACAAACTCACAATGAAAGAAATTCACGAAAGAGATACGAATAAGATATTCCAAAGGCTACGCAACGATATCAAGGATTCCAATCAAAGGATTACAACGAATAGATAGACTCAAGTACCAATTCAATCAAGAGTCAAGATGGTAATCACAAGGAAATCACATACTAGTACCAATAAGCAACGTAACTAGCATGCAAGCCAACAAGGTAGTCACAAAGACTCGTACGAATAATATAAACTTCATTTGAATCTAACGAAGCACAATATTGGATTACAACCACGATTCAAGACTCCAAATCCTACCAAAGGTTACTTAATACATCGCCTCTAGACTTACGAGACATCAATAAAGACACACAAATACACAATGGAACAACAAAACGGAAGCCAAAAACCAACGTACTAGTGGGTGGTTTGGACGGGAGGCAAAGTACCCGCCAAAAATCCCACCTGTACCAGCGGGTGGTTTCGCGAGTAGTGAAGTGCCCGCCAGGTGCCCGCTGGTACCGAACTAAAGAAGGAAAATCCTAGTTCGGAAAAAATTTAAAGAATGCACAAATCCAAGTCCAAACACCTCAATACTCACATCAACAACAAAAGGGACTTGAATACAAGGAAGAGCTCAAAAAAATAGCATCAAACAACCCTAGATACAAGCTCTATAAAATCATAAACACAAGAATATGCATTTCATCACTCAAGAACATAAAAAATCATATTAGCAAGGAGAAATAGGTTTTGTAGGACATGGGTTACCTTCTTAGCTTATCAAACCTCTTCAAACTCCCTAGCCTACTCTTGCAAGTTCTCCTCCAAGCGATCTTCATCAAAAGAACCCAAAAACCCAACAAGAAAGGAAGACTTAGATAACTGATGGGATGCAATTTAGCGGTGAGGTGGTGGAATATTTTAAACTGAGATGTGAAATCCCCGAGTGTTGTTCTCTAGGGATGGACAATGTGGAATTGGGTATTGCGTTGTCAAACACAAGCACACAAGTGCATAAGGAAGCTAGGAAAGTGTGTGGAACAGAGTTGCATTAACGGATACGAAATAGACAAGGAAAGATAAGAAAGGCATAAATGAAATTAAACGAAAAGAAAGAAAAGCGGATTAGGATTGTGTGTGTTAATTGAAATGTGTGATTAGCTACTCCAAAGGTTGGGTGTAAATTGCATGTTGTGACACAAGTCAAGAGGAATGGCTTGCTAGTGCGTAGCCATTTTGGTATATACACCTCTCGTAGGTAGATATGACACCTAGGTGCTCATTTCTTCTACGAGGCAAATAAGCAAACACCTTGCCTACATCCCTCTCCGGGCTACCATCCTATCAGATTTAGGGTGGGAAATGCAAGGGGAAGGAGGCTAGGATTATGTCTCAATCTATTGACAACATAATCCTTCCTAAACCTACAAGCATGTGTTGCAATCACACACAAGAGTCATTATAAGCATCCCTCTTCCAACAAGACATTCAAGCCAACAACATTCAATCACCACAATAGCACAGATCAAATCAAGCTAATCATCACAAATACAATATACACAACAATCCTAATATCTAGAATTTAGCCACTCATGCTCAAGATCAACAATCTAAATATATGCAAGATAAACATCATCAAAATAGAGCAATAAAATAGATCAAGAGTTTACCCAAGATTGCAAAGCTAGATTGTCAATCCAATGGATTAGAGGTGAAGATCTTGTTGGAAAAATTAGCTTAAAATGGCATATTAAGTGGCTATTTTGTGGTACAATTATCAGTGGGGTCCACTTCTAAGTTGGGTCGGGTCAAAGTGGATTCGGATTCTTCGTAGTAAGACGAAGAGATTGATATATTGTACGCTCAAAACGGATAATGGGTGAACGAGATATTGATTGTCAAAGTAAACCCATTTGAGTTCGGAAATGAAGGGAACAAAGTGAGCTTTGTCCCACATTGGTTTGGAAAGTGGATTTGCCCCCCTTATATACAAGAGCTCTTTTGAAGCTTGTAGAATTGTATAAAATAGAGGCTCTCTCGCGCGGGGGGGGGGGGGGGGGGGGGGAGGGTGCAAATCAAATTCCAACTAGAAGAGATCGAAAAGGCTTGATTCAAGCCTGAGCTCGCGTGTGCCGGCACATGCGGTATCATTTTCCACGAGAGGTTGTGGTGCACCGAGAGCACAACTCTCGTGCATCTGTGACCACGAGAGGTGCACTCTCGGGTTGCACCACAGCACGCACGAGAGTACATGCATCTGTGACCACGGGAGGTGCACTCTCGGGTTGCACCACAGCACGCACGAGAGATGTACTCTCGTGTTGCTGGTCCTTGTGCTCTCGTGTGAACCTGCACCCCAACGGTCTGAAACCCAAAAGTTGTTGTACAGATTAAACTCATCTGTTACGGAATTAATACTGTTTTAATTCCAATTTTAAATCTGAGTTTAATCCTACTTAGTGGGTGGCTGTTACAGGAGTTATACAATTGGTTTAATACCAATTAAAGGCCATGTTGAATGCTATCCCTTCCAACAGCCCTATATAAAGAGAGGTAGGGCAGAAGCATTTTACACAGTACGAAATCAAAGGAATTCCAATACAGTTTTGCCTCAAAAACTTCTGCTCCTACTATCTTCTTTCACCAACAGTGTTCTTGCTCTTGCTTTGTTTGCCGGGTTCTTTGTTTAGGTGCTTAAACAAAGAATCGTAGCACGTTTTATCCTGGGAAACCTAGGCTACAACGCTCCTAGCACTTGTGGGAGGTAGCAAATAAGGTTTTAAGGAAAAGAACTTTGTGTTCGAACTCGTGTTAAACCTATATCCAAACACTCCACCTTTTCCTTCCCAGTTTTCTGTTTCTCCCTTATAATAATAATTTTTCTGTAGAATTATTATTTTGGGATTTTTCAACCATATTACCCAACAGATCTTGCAAGGGAGAGCTTGGATCTTCACTTCTCTTTACAAAGTTGATTGAGATGGAGAGAAAACTAGCTACCCTAATATAATCTAAAATTCTAGAGAGAGAAATATTGAAAGAGGAAGAATGAAGAATGATGGATCTACCCTTCAAAAAAAAAGAATGATGGATCTAGATCTGAAATTTCAGCATAAAAACTCGCCAAGAAGCCTATTATTTCCCATTTACACAGGCGTCACGGCGTGACGCCTCGTGTGACTGGGAATCCTGATATGGTTTTTGCTTATTTTGACTGCCTAGACGTCCGAATTGGCATTTGTGGTCTTCATTAAAGTTATAGATAATTTTGATGCAAATCCATGGCCATCTGAATCACCTCGATCGGACACTCCTAGCTCCAGATATGAGTTTTCTTCCAAACTGTCGCTGAAATGAGTTAAATTGTCAATATTTTGCTATTTAGCACAAATGTAACCAAAACTAGTCCTTATGCCTAACTTCAATCAAATTAAGCTATTCTAAGCATATAATAGTCCTAAAGGACTCTAATTAAGCAAAATATTACTCCTAAATACCCCATAAAAGTAGCACATTTTAACACTTATCAATAACAAAGAAGCAAAACTATGAAATAAGACTATATAATCCTAGTACATACCCTTCCTAAGCTTGATGATGGTGAAAGATAGAGTCTTGCTTGGCTTTCTTGGGTGAGGGGGTGAAGAGCTCTCTTGGGTAGAATGGGAGAGTTAGGGTGGCTTGAAGAACAAGCTAAAATGTTGAGAGAGTTTTGGCCAAGTATGGGAATGCTAGGGTGAGTGTGTCTAGATAGTGGCTTGGGTTTCAAGTTATAAATTGTGAAATGACCATGAAGGGCCTCTTCTTTCCACATAAAGGCTAGAAGGGTTTCATTTAAGCAAAGACTAGAGTACAAAGGTCATAGCCTAAGGTCCAACCCATAGACCACATTAAAAAGGTTAAGGGATTTGGGTCAAACTAGATCCCCTAACTAAATTCAAGGATAAATTATAAGAAGAATTATAAGGGTAATTAGGAAATAATTAAATAATTAATTTGGGTTTAAGGGATTAATTTCCGGGGTGTCACACCTTTGTTCTTTGATGTTTGGGTTGATGAGAACTGTACTCATTCAGAAGACGCCTCTTTACCACTGAACTATCACCTACCCACAACTTCACCATTGTCAATCTATTGATACATTAAGTTATTAAGTTATTTGAATCCAATAGAATAAAATTTTCAGTGTACTGGAGATCGAAAAACACAATTCCCTAAATATTATTGTTCAAAATAATAGAATCAATCTTAATACACTTGAAAAAAACATATTTGTATATTACAGAATACTTGAAACCTATTGCAAAAAATGTGATACATATAAAAGAGGAAAAAACTACACAATACTTGAACCCTTCTAAGTCATCACTTTATTCTTCAATCCAGCACTATGTCTCAACATCAACCTAATAATAAAAGAAATTAGTTACAGATTGAAATAATTTTTTATTTTTTTAAAACCAATTGGCAGATTGTATTAATGAATCAAAGCTGTAATATAGTCAGGAGGGATAGAATCCCAATACATAGAAGGATCCTGAGTAAAAGCTAATGAAGCTAAAGTATGCGCATGCAAATTAACCTATCTAGGAACATAATTTAACGAAATATGACTAAATAAAGACATTAATGTTCTGCATTGGTCAACCATGACCCCAACATACGAGTAGATCGGTGTATTTTGCTGCTGCACAGCACTCCGTAAAACCATGCAATCCGTGAGAAGGCATACTGATGTGATGTTCCTTTCTAGTAGCCAAGATAGCGCCTCCTTATAAGCCAGTGCCTCTGCCATCAGTGGTGAGAAACAAAATGGCGATTTGCCATTTTTTGCCGCTATGAAGGATTCCTCCTGTGATATTAAAACAATTCCATACGTGGCCTCCCCGGTGCCTTGTTGAAAACCCGCGTCCACATAGCATCTCAGGTTGCCATGCGTCTTCGTTCCAGTCATTGGTGTCGGATCCGGCAGTGCTTGGCGGTGATGTGCACTGCCGTACGCCTGCATGGACGCTGTCGCTCCTCTCGCGACGTCGGCTGGCCGCATCATGGCCCCCTTCCACACGGCTGAGTTGCGGCCTCTCCAAATATGGTATAGCACGGCCACCAAGAGCCGGCTTTTCTCTTCCGTTAAGACCGCCAAAGCCCCCATTAGCCATGTTGAAAAGGAATCTGTAGCAATATTTGTGATAGGCAATTGTGTTATATTCCAAATAAGTGTAGAATATTCGCAGAACACTAAAGCATGCAACACATCTTCATGATCTAAAGCACACATTGGGCATATTGGGTCCACTTCCACTCTCTTTATAATCAAATTAGTGGTAGTGGGTAGAATATCACATATGGTTCTCCATAAAAACGTCTTCTACTTGGGTGGGACCTTTAATTTCTACATCGAAACCCATTTATCAAAAGCACCTGGGTTATTCTCAAAATCTCCAACAATACGCCTATAAGCGTCGTCTTAACTGTATATGTCCCTTTTGGGTCTCCCATCCAATACCATGAGTCATCGTAGTCAGGGCTAACAGGGATCATAATTATCCGGTTCACATCCTCAAGAATAAAAAGATCAGATAGAATAAGCGGATCCCATGTGTTTGTTCGTGGATCAATTAAACCTGCTATTCGTGCTTCTCTTAATTCTTCTGGAATATCCGTTTGTACCAAGGGGCTAGGATTATCCGGCAGCCAAGGATGACCCCATATTAGAGTTGTCTGTCCGTTTCCAATTCTACGTCGCACCCCAGCTGTCACTATTGCGTGTGCCGCCATTATACTCCTCCAACAGAAACTTGGGCAATTCCCAATAGTAGCATCAACAAAACTAGTTGTGGGGTAATAACGAGCCTTATATATTCTTGCTGCAAGAGATCCTGGGTTAGTAAGAAAACGACATGCCTGTTTTCCTAACATGGCCAGGTTAAACGCTCTTAACTCTTTAAAACCCAAACCACCAAATTTCTTAGGGAAACACAATCTATCCCAAGCCTTCCAATGTATTCCCCTTTCCCTGCCATTTTCCCACCAGAATTTATTCATGGTTCGCTCAATGGACTGACAAATTGTCTCAGGTAATAAAAAAACGCTCATTGAAAAAGTAGGCATAGATTGAGCTACGCTTTTCAACAACACTTCCTTACCAGCCTGAGATAGCAACTTTTTACTCCACGATCCAATCCTTTGGCTGATTTTTTCCTCCACATAAGAAAAAACATCTCTCTTATTCCTGCCCACAAAAGATGGTAGGCCAAGATATTTCTCAAAATTGGTCGCTTGTTCAACCTCAAGGCAGCTCGCTACTTGCGTTCTGTCCTCCTCGTGAGTGTTCCGGCTAAAGCATATATTGGACTTATTATAATTCACCACCTGCCCGGATAACTTATCGTACCTTACCAAGCATTGCTTGATGACACTAGCTTCCTGGATATTTGCTTTGAAAAAAGCAGGCTGTCATCTGCAAAAAACAAATGTGATACGGGATGTGCACCCCTCGCAACTCTACACCCATGTATTGATCATGCCACCTGTTCTCTTTGCAACAACATTGAAAGTGCCTCAGCACAGATAATAAATAAATAAGGGGAAAGATGATCCCCCTGTCTGAGGCCACGAGTCGGCCTTACACGCCCCCTTACTACACCATTCACCATCACAGTATAATCAACTATCGTCACACATAGCATAATAAGTTGGATCCACTTCTCACTAAATCACATAACAATCAACATTCTTTCCAGAAACGTCCATTCCATTCTATCATAAGCCTTTGACATGTCTAACTTTTGCGCACTCCACCCCACAACACCACACTGTTTCCTGTTTAAGTAGTGTCCCACCTCCGCTGCTACCAATATGTTATCTGTAATTAATCTCCCTGGAATAAACGCACTCTGGGATTCCGAGATGAGATCACCCATAAGCGTTTTCATTCTATTAGCCAACATCTTGGCCATAATTCTATAAATGACATCAAGAAAATATGAATGAAATAAAATTTTTAAAAAAGATTGAAACTGTTAATCTGTTATTACCCAATAAAATTGAGAATGATGATCACCAATGCCTTGCTGGAATACTTTCTGCAATATGTGAAAATTCAAGAGAAACAACTATAATAGAAAACAGTTAATAAATAAATATAAAAGCAAACTAAAGCATGAATATAGCATTTTGTACTACAACATTAAAAAAAAAAAAAACATAAACTGCATAATCACCAAAAAAGAACTTATAATTCTTACTTCACCTATAGAAACTAAAGTTAATAGAATGGAATGCTCCAGATTGAAAAGCCAAGCTCCAAAGGGCTCTTCTTACTCAATCTTTTGTTTCAGTCTTGGTGATGGAGTGCTGGGTTTTGGGCTATATTTATAGGTGATTTAGGAGTGTCTGAGTACAACATGGAGTTAGGAGATTGAATTTGATTTTAACTGGGAATTAAGCATGCATGTTTTTAAGGATTTTTTTTATTTAAATCTTAATAATTTAGCCATGCAGTTGAGTTTTAATGGGAGTTTGAAATTTAGTAAATTTAATAGAGAATTAATGGAGAATTATAAAACAAATAATGGAGAATATAATTTTTAACGGGCAATGGAATAATATAATATTGTTGAACAGAAATATGAATTTTAATATTGTTATATTGCTAATATTATGTTTGACTATTTTACTACTCAATCATCCTTTTCTGACTGACATATGTTTAAATATTATATTATATATATGTTATAATAACGATAAAATTAACAATAATTATAATATATGCTGCTTCCTATTTCTAGTATTTGAACAACCAGATTTATTTGTCACGCACAGGGTATTATAATAGTGTTTTAATATTGTCATATTGAATTGCATAACAAATAAGAATTTTAATATAGATTGAATTATAGTACGAATTGAAAAGTATGAAAGAATATATTCTATTAGGAATTGTATTACATTATTTTATAATATTAGAAAAGGAAATTTAATGTAGAATTATAGTACGAATGGAAATGTAGGAAATAATATATTTTTTTAGGAATTGTATTACACTATTTTACAATATTAGAATGTGAATTTTAAGGTAGAATTATAGTACGAATAGGAAAGTAGAAAATAATATATTAAAATTTGAGGATTTTGGGTGGGAAGTTAAGTTGAAAATTTTGTTTTTATATATAGTATCGACTAATAAGTGTCCCGTGCGATGCACGGACTATTATTCATTTAACAAATGAGCAAATTACACTTTTGGTCCTATAACTATAGGGGGCATGTTAATTTCTCTCCATGACTTTTAAAACTAACAATTTAGTCTTTTAACTATGTTTTTTTTAGCAGATTTGGTCCTTCTGGCCAAATCACCGGTGGAAATTGGCCGGAAAAACTTAACCTTTTTAAATTTTTTATTCATGAGGGAAAAATAGTCTTTTTTACGTAAGCTGTTTCTTCTTCTTCGCGTTCATGAGCTACGGCTAACAGTTGCCTCTTCTTCCAAGAAAGAACAGCTCCAAGAATCGAAGCCCAGGTTCATAAGCAAGGTATGATTTTTATCCTCAGCTTTTTCTTCATTTCTACCGAGCATTTCTTGATTCATCTTCCCCAGATCGCACAGTATAAAGCTTTATAAAAGATCTAAACTCCCATAAATATTCTTCTCCCTATTCTAGCCACAACCATCCTCCCAATTCCAGCCACGACCAAACATAATTGTAGTATTAGTTGTGGTCCTGTGGATGATGGTTTATTTATTGTGTTGAAGTAGGTGTAGATGTTCATGTAAGTATTGATTCTGAATTTTAAATTTATCTCCAATCAATTAATGTTAGAAACATAATATAATTATATTGGTGATAATGAACCACAATCGATTTAATATCCCAAAAATAATATTTATATATACACACACTAGTATATAAAATATTATTGGATATTTATCCGAAATATATATATACACACAAATATATATATAACGGATCCAAAGGTTATATATACATGTATATCTACGAAAAAGATATACCAATATATATCAACCAAAATTGAAACTAATAATCCTCAGATTATGAGTTCAATCGAAATAAAATATCAAAAGAGGGAGAACGGATTTTTGCTTAAAAGCATAATCCAAAACAAGAAAGAAGGAGAAGGAAGAAAGAAATGTAAGAGTTAGGCGAGGTGCCTTTCTTTCCTTAAAACCTTATTTGCCACCTCCCAAGAGTGCTAGGAGCGTTGTGGACTAGGTTTCCCAGGATAAAACGTACAACGGTTCGACGTTTGAGCACCCAAACGAACGAGAGCACGAACAAAACACAACTTCAAGAATGAAGTAGAAGCAGAAGTATTTTGAAGCTGGAAAAATTATTTTTCTTGTGTGTTCTAAAAAGCTACTGTTTAACTCCTTCTTATATAAGGATTGAGGAGTGAATAGCCTTTATTATGGCATTTAGGGGCACCCCTACAACTCCTGTAATGGCAACCATTAACATGGGTGTTAATTCAAAAATTAAAATTGAAATTAATCCCATGACAGCTGGAATTAAATCCCAACAGTCACAAACAGGAGCTTTAGGCCGAACTTTCGGCCTAAGTAGTAGTTTCAGCCATCAGGCCGAAACCACCACCTTCGGCCACGAAACATATGAAACATTATATTGTTTCATATTTCGTGGAGGCCAAGGTGGCCCACGAAACATGAAACAATTGTTTCATTTCGTGGTGGCCAAGGTGGCACACGAAACTTGAAACAATTGTTTCATTTTCGTGGTGGCCACCCCGAAACTGTGAAACAATTTTCAACTGTGAAACAATTTTCACAAGTTTTTGTGGCTGCTTGAATTGGAAAATGAGACCCCGAAATAACATATAATTTTAGCCCGCAAGGGACATTCGTGCCCGTAGGTGCCGGCGCATACGAGATTAGGCTTAATCCAAGCCTTTTTTTTATCTCAAACTGGGATTTGATTTGCACCCACCACCCCCTCCGCGCGAGAGAGAGCCTCTATGCTATACAATTCAATAAGTTTAAAAAGAGCTCATGTTTAAATAGTGGGGCAAATCCTCTTCCCAAATCAATGTGGGACAAAAGCTCATTTTTTCCCTTCATTTTCCAACTCAAATGGGTCTACTTTGAGAATCAATATCTCATTCACCCATTATCCGTTTTGAGCATACAATATATCAATCTCTTCGTCTCACTACGAAGAACCCGAATCCACTTTGACCCGACCCAAATCGGAAGTGGACCCCACTGATAATTGTAACACAAAATAGCCACTTAAAATCCCATTTTAATGCTATTTTTCCAACAAATTATTGCAATGTTAATTTTCAATTACGGATCAACAATTATTACTCAAATTAATTTTGTGAATTACTCTCCTATCTACTAAAATCTTTTTGCTTATTATTCAATTTGATTTTCTTTTCATCTTTATTTAATTATGAGTAAATACCACTTATGGTCCCTCGAGTTTGGTGGCATCGCCATCAATGGTCCCTAACTTCCGTAATTACCATCCGTCATCCTCCGAGTTGTGAAAAGTTACCTTCTAGCGTCCTTCCGTTACTTCCTCCCGTCTTAGCCGTCAAAATGGAGGGTAATATTGTCATTTGATTTATACGAAAAGAGTTAATACCAGCCAAGGTCCCTCGAGTTTGGTGGTTTGGTCATCTTTAGTCCCAAACTTGGCCCAAACAATATTAAAGAAAGTTGGTGGTTTCTCAACTTCCAACTCGAACTCCCTCTTCTCCTATACAATATTAAAGAAAATTTACAAATGTATAGGGGTCGTTTACTTCATTTATCTGTTTTTCCATTTCCAGTTTTCCATTTCTCCAGTTTTCTTTCTCCATTTTTCCAGTTTTCCTTCTCAATTTTTTCAGTTTTCCATTTTTCCATTCCTCCAGATTTTTATTTCTCTAATTTTCTGATTTTATTAAATACACTCATCCTATATAGCATTTGCACATTTCTACAACAACAACAACAATAATAATAATAATTTAATAATTTAATAATAATAATAATAACAATAAATAATAGTAATAATACTAAGAATTTAATAATAATAATAATAACAATAACAATAATAATATGAATATGAATATAATAATAATAATAATAATAGCATTTGTACATTTCTATAACAACAAAAACAACAACAACAACAACAACAACAACAACAACAATAATAATAATAATAATAATAATAATAATAATTTAAAATAATAATAATAACAATAAATAATAATAATTTAATAATAACAATAACAATAATAATAATAATAATATGAATATGAATATATTAATAATAATAATAATAACAATAATAATAATAATAATAATTTAATGCTAATAATATAATAATAACAATAACAATAATAATAATAATAATTTATTAATAATAATAATTTAATAATAACAATAATAACTTTAAATAATAGTAATAATAATAAGAATTTAATAATAACTATAAATAATAGTAATAATAATACATTTGAAGAAGAGAATATGAAAGAAGGAAAATAATGGAATATGGTGCAGCGAAACTTGGGACTAAAGATGGCCAAACCACCAAACTCGAGGGACCTTGGCTGGTATTAACTCTTGACAACTCGAAGGATGACGGATGGTAATTACGAAAGTTAGGGACCATTGTTGGCGATGCCACCAAACTCGAGGGACCATAGGTGGTATTTACTCTTTAATTATTTATGATGAATATGATTAGGGAATTTTTTCCCTCATCATTTTGCTTTAATATATATAGAGATAGAGAAGAGATAAAGATTTTTCCCAAATCATTTTGCTTCAATATATATAGAGATAGAGATAGAATATTGAGATAGAGAAGAGAATAGAGATAGAGATATAATATATAATAAATAATATATGCAATATTTTATATTTTATAAATTAATGATATAGACATGTTATGTTGACTAATTTAATAATTATGTTGATGTT